CATCAAAATAAAAAATTTCTGTGCACCAAAGTCAACAAAGTGAAGAGGCAACTTACAGAAAGGGAGAAAATATTTGCAAATCATATATCTGATAAGAGGCTAATGTCCAGAATATATAAAGAACTTGTACAACTCAACAGCGATCAAAAACAGCCTGCTTAAAAAATGGGCAAAGGACTTGAATAGACATTTTTCCAAAGATAATATCCAAATGGCCAAAAGGCATCTGAAGGGCCGGCTCCGTGGCTTAGCGGTTAAGTGCGCGCCCTCCGCTGCTGGCGGCCCGGGTTCGGATCCCGGGTGTGCACCGACGCACCGCCTCTCCGGCCATGCAGAGGCCGCGTCCCACATACAGCAACTAGAAGGATGTGCAACTATGACACACAACTATCTACTGGGGCTTTGGGGGAAAAATAAATAAATTAATTAATTAAAAAAACAAACAAAAAAAACAAAAGGCATCTGAAAAAATGTTCAACATCACTAATCGTTAGGGAAATGCAAATCAAAACCACAAGGAGATATCACCTCACACCCATTAGGATGCCTACTATAAAAAAATAAAATAGAAAATCACAAGTAGTGGCCAGGATGTGGAGAAATTGGAATGCTTGTGCGTTGTTGGTGGGACTGTAAAATGGTGCAGCCACTATACAGAACAGTATGGTGCTTCCTCAAAAACGTGAAAATAGAATTACCATATGATCCAGAGATTCCCTTTCTGGGTGTACATCCAAAAGAATTGAAAGCAGGGTCCCAAAAAGATATTTGTACACCCACATTCACAGCAGCATTATTTACAATAGCCAAGAGGTGGAAGCCCCCCAAGTGTCCATTGACAGATGAATGGATAAACAAAAATGTGGTATCTACATACAATGGAATATTATTCAGCTTTTAAAAAGGAAAGAAACTCTAATACATGCTACAACATGGATGAACTTAGAGGACATTACGCTAAGTGAAATAAGCCAGTCACAAAAAGACAAATACTGTTTGATTCCACTTATGCGAGGTATCTAGAGTAGTCAAATTCATAGAGACAGAATGTAGAATGGTGGTTGCCCGGGGCAGGGGGGAGGAGAGGACGGGGATTTTTTAAATGGGTACAGAGATTCAGTTTTGCAAGATGAAAAGTTCCGGGGACTGGTTGCACAACAACGGGAATACACTTAACACCCCTGAACCGTACACTTAAAAATGCTTAGGATGGTAAATTTTATGTTTACTTTAGCACAATTTAAAAATTTTTTAAATGAAAGAAAAAAAGCAAAGTAGAAATCTTATTTTTTATGTGAAATCTCCCAATTTGCAAATGTTGACAACTGTCCTGAACCTGTAGTTGCCTATCTAACGGTGATTTCCCTCTCTTTCATAATAAATAGCTGAGCGCCAAATGTAGCTCAGTGACCACCCCTCCACCACGTGACTCAGGTAAATCCTCATTGGTTCAAGTCAATCATAGTGGTCTTATTCCCTTGGCCAGCCATGAATTTAGAGGTGGGCATGGAACCCAGTTCTGACCAATAAGATGTGAGGGGAAGTCTCCTGGAGGGTTTTAGGAAAGGTTTCTTGGCCCTAAAAATGAGACATACTGGGGAGAAACCTCCCCATTCTATTGCCGGACGTTGGTTCCTATCAGAGTAAGATGCCTGGCACTGCTACAGTAATTTTCCAACCAAGAAGCAGCCATCGGCAGACCAGAAAGATGGGAGGAGTCTGGGGTCTCAACATTGTTGGGTTGGACATAGGCTTTTTGCCTCCAGACTTTCTGTTATGTGAGATAATCCATCCCCTCATCGTTGAATCATTCTGAGTTGTATTTTAAAAGTGGCAGCTTAGAAGATCATAAACAATACAGAGGAAAAAAAAGCCTTTGGAGCAAATAAAACAAGTCTGCAGCTAAATCTGACACAGAAGCCAGCGATTTACTACCCTAGGTGTTTCCCTAGTCACTTGCGTTACCATCATTTCTTAGGGAAGTTCTCCCTGCATTATTCAAACCAACTCAGTGCCTCCACCCTCCTCTTTTCAGTGTTTTAGGCCTCAGAGAAGGCCCAAGCATCACTGAGTCCCACATCAAGCATCAGACTATAGCAGTTTCCTCAAAGATTTCCTTGGTAACTCTGCTAACAAACTCAATTATGTCTGCATCTCTGGTTGCCTACTTCCTATTGGAAATGGTTCTTGCTACTGCCAGCTCTGCAACTATTGCATTCAGCAGCCATCCTCCTTATCCCTATAATATTCTTTGATATGAAATGTGCTTTGTCTGATACTAACATAGCCACTCCAGCTTTCTTTGATTTGTGTTAGCATGGTATATCTTTTTCTATCCTTTTATTTTTTTAACTTATTTGTATGCTTATATTTAAAGTAGGTTCCTTTTAGGCAGCGTATATCTGGGTCTTGCTTTTTTATCTAATCTAACAATCTCTGCCTTTTATTTGCACTAGCCACTTTCTAGTCAATTGCTTTAAAAAGAAAAAAATAGAAGCCGTTCTTCTTTCTGCACCTAGAAGATGTTTTTTCCTAACACAACATTTAAAAAGTAGTTGTCTGTCATTCCTGACATAAATTTACATGATGATAGCAGGGGATGTGGAAAGGCGGCAGCGCCCGGCAAGGATGCCTGGGGTACGGGATGCAGCAAGTTAGAGACTGCGAGAACTGCGAGTAGACTTTTGCAGTAGTTTATACAGAGGACCTAACTTCAGGGTGCTCTGAAGAAGGTCCTTTCTACTGAAAGAACCAACAGAAGTTGGCAACAGCTTGCTTATAGTCACCACGATTTCTCTTTCCCGGTCTGGTCTCTGGGTAAGTCCTAGTTACCCTCTTTACTGAAATTATGCAAAGGATAAAAAAACTTCAGAGTGTCTGAGCTGGTAAGAACTTGGAGCATTTAGTTCAATCTTTCCTTTTATAGTTGAGGAAAAGGAAGTCAGAAAAGTGAATTAATATGTCCCAGGTCATGCCCCTGGCTAGTGGTGGAGTTTAGAATAAAACCAACTCCTTTCTGGATTTCCAGAAAGACTGGAGAACCTTATTGGTTTAATGTTAACTTTTGTATTCTACTTAAAGCAAAAAAGATATATTTAATTTCTACTCTTCATCCTTGTTTTGATTTGTAGCCCCACTCAGTCTGAGAAAAGCAACAACAAAACAAACAAGGAAAATCTTATGAGAACAGAATGAAACACAGATAGCAAAACAGACAGATTCACAGAGCAACTGGGACACACAGACAAGATAACCCAGTGAGAGAAAATGAGACTGAAGAGACAAGATTTTCCAAGGGAGTGTGGGGTTATTAGCCCCATCGTGTGGCCTTTTTGGAGATTGCCTCTAAGGTTAATTTTTGAACCATTAACTATGACTAAGGACCTGACGACTTGTTTGGTGAGTAGATCTAGAACAGTGGGTCTCAAACTTTGGTGTGCCTGAGAATTGCCTGAAAAGGGGGTGAAAATGCAGATTCCTGGGCCTTTCTCCCAGAGAGGCGAGTAGATCAAAGTGGGCCCAGGAACTGTGCTTTTAGACAGCTCCCCAGATGACTGCAGGAGGACCATGAACCACGTATAAGAAACACTGCAGAAGGCAGTAAGAATTAGTGGTATTCATCCCCTTGGCATTTGTCAGGAAAGGACTATTCTGAGGAAAAGTCTGGAAGGAAACTGTCAAGAACTATAAAGAGTCTGAGATTGTAGCCTACTTGCAAACTAACAAGTTAGCCTGCCACAGTTTCATAAATGCTGGTAGATGAGACTCCTGGGTTAGAGACAAAGGATGGTTTATTACTAACAGTGATAACAGCAGTCAGAGAATCATTACTTGGGGCCAGTTTTCTCAGCCCCAATTCTCACAAGCCTAAGTGATGAGGGCCACAGTGGGTTGCATTATAAGAGAGTAACTCAGAGCTTAAGGAACCTGAATCTTTTATAATGGAGACCAAATCTGCCAGATCTTTGCCTGGAGGAAGACATTATTTCTGCCTTTCAAGGCTATTCGCCATAGAAACAGCCTTGAAGAGATATTCCAAAAAGGCAGGCAGTGCCTCTGCTCGCATATAGGAACATGAGACACAAGAATTGTCTTCCAACAGAAGCCAGGAGTGGAAGTGTGTCAAGGGAAAGGAATCCTACATCTGAAGGCTGTAAAGTGCTCAAACTGAAGCAGGAACGGGGAGTTGGGGAGACTCAGGCCCGCTATATCAGGCAGGAATCCAGCTTGGATTCTAGTCCCCATAGCTAACTTTGCACAAGTCCTTAATCTCTCTCTTTTAATGAGGACCTGTTTCATATCATAAGCACTTTCCATATTTATTTCACTTTATTCCTCACATCTCATGGAGACAGATATTATCGCAATTTCACTCAAGAGGAAATATATTTTGAAAGATTGTGACTTGCCTACTTAACCACGGAACAAGAATCGGTCTTCTCAGAGGTCTTCCCACCATCCCCTTCCCTCACCCCTTTCCTCCTTACCCCAGGGCGCAGGACTAAGACTGGACAAAATAAGTAAACAATTAATGCAAGACTGGGGGCAGATCTTTGGAGAGGCACTATAAATCCTAAGCGGTGAGAGCACTAACGGCGCTGTAAGACCCGCCTCTACTTCGGAACCAGGACGGGGAGAGCTCTCTCTTTTCCTACCTCGCGGGCCTGAGATTTCCGGGGATCAGTTAAGGAGAGGGCTTCTAGACTTCCCTTCCCATATCAAATCGGAAATAGGTTTCCAGTGACACGCAAGCCCTACCCAGAGCTGGGTAGTTCCTTCCTCGCTAAACTGGACCACCCTGCCAGGTACTGGCGGGGACCGCAGAGCGCAGGGACCGCAGAGCACGTGGACCGACCCCGGTCTTCCGGGGTTTCCCGCGCCGACCGGAACTGGAGCGGAGCCTCACGAACGCCTCCCGCGCGATTGGCCGGCGCCGCTGTCGCTCAGCGTTCCGAGGGGAAGGGGCTGGGCGCCGCGCCCCACAAGGCGGGTAGGAGGGGCCGGGGCGAAAGTTGGGGGCACGGGAGCCGGCGGCCGGGGCCATGGAGCCAGGACCGGCGGTGTCCCCCGGGCCTTACCGCTCCTTCAAGGAGGAGCTGCTCTGTGCCGTCTGCTACGACCCCTTCCGCGACGCCGTGACTCTGCGCTGTGGCCACAACTTCTGCCGCAGCTGCGTGACCCGCTGCTGGGAGGTGCAGGTGGCGCCCACCTGCCCGGTGTGCAAGGACCGCGCGGCCCCCGCCGACCTGCGCACCAACCACACCCTCAACAACCTGGTGGAGAAGCTGCTGCGCGAGGAGGCCGAGGGCGCGCGCTGGACCGGCCACCGCTCCCCGCGCCTCTGCCGCCTGCACCGCGGCCCGTTCAACCTCTTCTGCCTCGACGACAAGGAGCTGCTGTGCTGCTCGTGCCAGGCCGACCCCCGGCACCAGGGCCACCGCGTCCAGCCAGTGAAGGACACTGCTCACGACTTTCGGGTAAGAGCGGCAGTGTGCGGGAGTGGCTGGGCGCGCGAGTGGTGGCCGAGGCAGGACTGGAACCCAGCACCCCTGACCCCGCCGCTCCCGCCTGCCAGAGCTGTGTGCGCCCAGCCCTGCCCCTCTTCCTGCTGCCAGCTTGCTGGTGCCTTCTCAGGACCCCACCTCTCTGACCCTGGTAACCTACTGAGGCTGCCTTCCTCAGGGCCGGCCCAGGGGGCCTGAGATGGGGGAAGCGTGTAAACAGGAAGTGTGAGAACTGGGGTTACATGGTGTGCTCGAGCCAGCCCCGCCCACTTCTGACGGCTGAGGCCATACATCCTTTATACCAATGTGGTGTGGCCTATGAGAAGCCCAGGTGTGGGTAACGCTCAGGTATCCTGGAGCTTGCCATACTCAGGTTAGAGGTGCGGGAGCCCAAGACCTGGCCAGGGACATGGAGCCTTAAGATCTCCCCAAGTCGGTCACCTAACTTCCCAAGGTGCTGTCATCTATTGTATAGCTGTGGGGAAGCCTCTGGCCCTAGCCAGCTGGTTTATTCTGGATCATTCTCTCAGCATCCTAATGCCTAGAGTTCCAGTAAAGCAGGGGGCAACTTCTAGGGCAGAACTAACATGGAGAATTCTTTGGTTTAGGAAGGAAAAATGATCAGAAAGCAAGGATTAGCCAACTCAGGAGTTTTCAGAATTTTTGACCTTAGCCCTAGTAAGAAATACTTTTTTCCTTTGTGACCCAGAACACCCATATGTATGTATCAGTGAAAATGTCTGTTGTACTCTGGCATTTTCTGTTGTTTTATTTTTATTTATTGTTTTATTTTAAAAGTTGCACAGGGAGTGAAACACTAACTTCTTTCCTCACTTACTGATACATGGGTCAGACCCACAGTTTGGAGAATACTGGTTAGCTGGTAGGAAGCTGAGTGTTTTGAAAAGGAGGCGCTACGAGAACCCCCAATGCCTAGTCTCCATACCCTGTTTTAGTTAGGTTGTTTTTAATCCTTTCTTAAAAAATATCAGAAGTTGATCACAGTTCCATATACATTTTGACAAAGTTCAAGTGAAGAGGAATGTCATCAGTATGCATGTTTGAACACTACAGTAGCTTGCCAGAGGGATAACCCTGTAACTTCTGTCACCTTATTTAACAGTGGTCCACAACAATGCTCTTTCCCATTTCCACTGGCAGAAGTGCCAGGTCCTGTTTGGGACAGCTAAAGTAAGTGCTGGGCATTGTGGGAACTGTAGGGAGGCACCATGGATCAAGTCAGGACTAATCACCTTGGGGCTGGCAGAGGTGCAGATCAGGAACATGGGCAGGGGTCAAGGCCAAGAGCACTAAGGCAGAACCACCAGGTCCAGGCTTAAGCCAGGATTCCAGATCAGTGAGCCAAGTGCCAGAAAGCGCATATGGTCTAATGACAACTTTCTGTTTATTCAGCAGATGCCTTGTACTACTAGGCCCTGGGAATACTGCAGAATACAGATAAACAATAATTCATACCTTCAAGAGCTTCAAGCAGAGACCTGAGGGATGAGGAGGTGTTAGCCAGGTGAAAAGGGTGAGGGAGGGTATTTCAGGCAGAGTCAGCAGCATATGTAAGGGTCCAGAAGCGGGGAGGCCTGACTTTCCAGGCACCAAGAGAGTTTCAGAGTAGTTAGAATGAAGGTGGAGATGCAGAAGGAGCCAAGAGGCCTCAAGTCCTGGCCTTTATCCTAGAGACTGTAGGGAGCAATTGGAGGGTTTTAAGCAGAGGAATGATGCTGTCAGATCGATGGGCACTCAGAGTGATGTCTGAGGGGGTAGGGAGTCTAATCCTGAAAGATGTGAGGAGAATGCAGACTGAGTGTGCTCAGCCTGGTGCAGGGTGGAACTCATTCGTGTGTTAGACAACTAACACAAGGGCCCGTTGTGTTCCAGGACCTGTTCTGGGTGCTGAGGTCAGTAAGACAGCCCTCGCCCCACGGAGCTCACATTGTAGTGGGGGAAGTCAGACAGCAAATACACAAGTTGTAGTTCTGGATGATTGGAGTAGGTGGTGGTTGTGGGGGGAGCAGTATGGGAAGGCTGCGGAGGTGGGAAGGGGCTGAGGGGGTTTCCACTGTGTGCTCTCTGGAGCCCTGAAAGCTTTTAAATAGGGATTTTGTGATGAGATGTGTGCTTCAGCAAGATCACTTTGGCTACGGTGTGAGCAGTTCGGTGAATAAAATAATCATACCAGCCAACACTTTGACCACTTACTATGTGCCAGGTGCTCTTAAGTGTTTCAATGGCAACAAATTTAATCCTCATAAAAACCCTATTAGGCTGTGTATTAGGTTCCTACTGCTGTTGTAATAAATTGCCACAAATGTGTGGTAGTCCCCCTTGTCCATGGGGGCTACGTCCCCAGACCCCCAGTGGATGCCTGAAACCTCGGATAGTACCGAACCCTATACATACTATGTTTTTTCCCATACATACATACCTATGGTAAAGTTTAATTTATAAATTAGGCACAGTAAGAGATTAACAGCAATAACTAATAATAAAATAGAACAATGATAACAATATACTGTAATAAAAGTTACCATAGATCTTAGCAACCTCAGTATACCATGTTTTTCTTTCCTTTTAAGTCGAGAACTTTCACCTTTTCACTTCAAGGAAGCACTTTACTGCTTCTCTTTGGCATATTTGAGTTGCCAGCATCACTACTGTTGCGCTTTGGGGCAGTTATCAGGTAAAGTAAGGCTTACTGGAACACAGCACTGCGGTACCCTCACAGGCAGTCTGATAACTGAGATAGCTACTGAGTGACTAACCGGCTGATAGCGTATACACGGTGGATATGCTGCACAAAGGGATGATTCCCATCCCAAGGCATGATTCACCTCCGGACAGGAAGGAGCGGGACAGCGGGAGATTTCATCACACTACTCAGAACGGCGTGCAGTTTAAAACTTGTGAATTGTTTATTTCTGAAATTTTCCCTTTAATATTTTTGGACCACTTTTTTGACTATGGGTAACTGAAACCACGGAAAGCAAAACCATGGATAAGGGGAGACTACTAAAGTGGCTTAACACAGCACAGATTTATTATCTTACAGTTATGGAGGTCAGAAGTCCTAAAATCAAGATGTTGGCAGGGCCACATGCCTTTTGGAGGCTAGGAGAGAATTTATTTCCCTGCCGTGTCCAGCTTTTAGAGGCCCCTTCCTCCATCTTTAAAGCACGTCATTCCAACTTCTGCTTCTGTTGTCCCATTGCCTTCTCTGACTACTACTATCTCCCTCTTACAAGGACCCACCCAGACAATCCAGGATAATCGCCTCATCTTAAAATCTGTAATTTAATCACATCTACAAAGTCCTGTTTGCCATATAAGGTAGTACATGCACAGGTTCTAGGGATTAGGACGTGGGCGTCTTTGGGGGGCCATTATTCAGCTTGCTGCAGGTAGGTACTACTCTCCCCACTTTACAGACAGTGACACTGAGTCTCAGAGAGGTTAAGTAACTCTTCCAAAGTACACAGCAGGTACTGGAGAGTTCACCTGGGGCCTTGTTCAGCCCCTAGTCTGGTTATGGACTTTGAGAGCAATTTCTCTGGTCCCAGGGTAAAACTTTCCCTGCTGGTCCTCTGTTCCGGGAGCTGAGAGGCAGCTGTGTGTGTGTGGGTACTTAGAGGCTGAGTGGATAAGGACCACTGTCAGTGGGCTGACAGTAGGTGCTGACTGAGTGCCCACTGTGTGCCAGGAGAGGAGAGGGCAGTCTTAGCTCCTGCCTTCTTGGAGTCAGATAGGCATGGTTAAGTAACAATCACGTGAATAATTACATAGTTTTAGACTGGCGTTCCTGTGAGGGACAGGACGGGATGTGACGGCCCATTGTAACAAGGAGGCCTGCTCTCGTCTGATGGTGCATGGGGAGGAGTTCTGAAGAAGTGATTTTGCAGACACTTGAAGGCTCAGAAGGTGTAAGCTAAGTGAGGGGCAGCAAGCAGTGATGGTGGGCTGGGGGGCAGGGCATGCAGCAACCAGAGATGTCCTGGATGAGGAATGAAGGTGTCCAGGACAGATCCTGTAGGACACTGTAGGGCATGTTAAGATTTGGGATTTTATCCTAAGTGCAGTGGGGCAGGAAGGGAAGGACCGATAAGATTTCAGAACATGATATTTGTTTAAACTAGAGCTATAAAGTGTGTGGTGGAGCTTCAGGGGACCTAAGGAAATCCTCTAGTTTAGTGTTTCTCAAACTTGAACAGTGTAAACGTCTGTCTTAGAGGGAAAAAAAATTCCAACAGTGTGACTTAAATTACTGTATCAGGTTCCTTATATACAAACACAAAACTAGTGTGCATATCTTTTGCTTATACCATATGTAGGCAATGAAGCCAAAAGAAGTTTACAGATTAAGTACAAACAAAATTAAAATCAATACAATTCTAGTTAAAATATTAATACAAAGTTTTATTTTGCTAAAACTAAAGCCCTGCCTCTGGCTGGCTATGAGGCTTCTCTGGCAATACTTGGGTACCCCTCTACCCTGTCCAAGTGGTTACTCGATTTGCCAGCCAAAATTTCCCTGTTTGAAGAACTGTGAAACTTCCCTGTAATGTAATTGGCCTTCCTTGTGGGTCTAGAACATGCCTCACCTCTGAAGTGTATTTCTGTTCTTTCCTTATTGGCCAAGGCAATGGAAGTAGTGTAGCCTGGTGTCGAGGAAGTTGTTAACAAAATACAAACGCTGGTGCTGAGCGGCAGGAACCGAGAGCATGTGTCAGCACTGTTTATAAGGTGACTCACAATAGGCTTCTCGTAGTATTTTTTTAGGTTATCATTCAATGAAAACACTAAATTAAAACACTCATGGAAAACTTGCAAATCCCCCAGATACATAGACCCAGAGCCATGGGGGTCCGTGAGACAATTACCTTTTACTAATGAGGAAGTGAAAACTTGGAGAGAGAACAGCAACTCATGCCAGTTACAGGGAAGGAAAGTGGTACACCAAGGAT